GATTAATTCCTCCGCTAGCCAGGCCAGTGAAAACGCACTTTTGTGTACTCCGCGTCCTCCGCAACATGAAAGTAGGCAAGTGCGACTAAACTTTATTCCTGGTGATGTATAACCCCAATATATACCCTAGAATCCCTATATAACCCCTATAGAATCTATCTTTTAGAAAAATCCTGGGATTCTGCCCTAAGCCCTAAACCCTAAACCCAAATCTTTTAGAAAAATCCTGGGATGCTGGTGTCCTTGACGGACTGCGACACATTGAGAGCCAACTCCGCTGCGAATCTCAAGGTTTCCGGCTTCGCCGGCTGCGCTGCCCCTGAGGCCTGGAGATTGGGACATATATACTTAGGGTTTAGGGTTTAGGGTTTAGGGTTTAGGGTTTAAGGTTTAGGGTTTAGGGTTTAGGGTTTAGGGTTGACTTTTCATGCTATGCAGATAACCGCTGTATAATCCTAGTTTCCATTCAATTTCCCATTTTCTTTTCCATTTGATTCTCCATTATTGGGGTAATGTTGGGTACCATATCCCATTTACCTACGTAGGATGGGGTTTAGGATTTCAGACTCAGAGCTCATGATTCCGTATTGATACTTTCGGGCTTTCGGATTCAGGTTGCGCTGGTAGGATCATGGGTTTATCATGATCATAGATAGGCTGTAGGAACTGTAGAGAACTAACGAGGTGGTCTATCTATATTGACGCGGCCCCATGGCTGTATGGACAAAGTACTTCGCACTTTGGGGCTTGAGTTTGGCGACTTGCTTCAAGCATCCAGTCGGTCTGTCGGGTTTTGTGCTGCCCTGATATCCCGCACTACGGCGCGCGCAGTTGGCATCATTCGATTGGGAAGCTGCAACACTCTGAAAGAAAATGGGCGAATGGCCCAGGTCATTCTTGGCCTATCATCGGCAAGGCTCGCACAATGGATGATAAGGGGCTAGGATTCAAGGCGCGCTGCCGCCCGGCCGAAAAACTGAGAACAATCGTCAGTCGAAAACTTGTTCCATACCTCTCAATCTTGCAAAATTTCATCAACGCTTCCGGTCGCGCAGCAAAATCACTGAACACGCACCCACATCAACGCCACACTGCTACTCATTTGCACGGCCATTCCAGGGGTACAGAATGCTTTTCTATCTTTCAATGTCCTGGAGGCAACGCAGCTCTGAGCCCAACCCAGCCCAATCGCCAACATTGATGTCCTGGCCTGTGCCGCGTCCGGATCCTGTGACGAAGACGACGCTGCGGCACCACCGAGAAGGATGTCCCTAAAGATGCCCGTTCATTGCTGGGGTAATATTAGGGTTATATTGGGGTTTATGGGAATAATGGACAAGAAAATGGAAGCTAGTAGAATGGGTTATATGGGGGTCACAAACGCAAGTTCAGAGATTTGGTGTAGAAGTTGTAACTAGGCTTGATCTCTCTTTTCAGAACTGGCAGTCCTCATGGCATTCAAGAAGGTACCACAATACTTTCTGACACCAGGGCCACAGAACCAGATCAACTTGTGCAGTCGGGACTAGGGGGAAAAAGAGATACGTGAGTAGACAGCCCCAGCAGTTACAACTGTAGAGATCGTGAAGGAAGGCACTTCGGTTGTACAGTGGGCCGCTACATGAGTGCGTCACGATGGTCATCTCCATCAAGAATGACCCAAACCAGCATTTCACGCCTCAGCGTATTGGCAGCTTGGGTGTGATAGCCTCGGACCCAGCGAGGCCAGCATGAAAGGTGACCAGCCCTCGAAACTAAGCAACATGTTGTTTCAACAATTTGGGGCTCTGACGTACGCTCCTGAATAATTAGAACAACATCCTGAGGTGCACTCGGGGTGTTCTACATTGGAATCCTTCTGCGGGCGATCACGGAACAACCGTTAGTGGACAATCTGCAGGCTTCTTGCTGATGGCAAGGCGGGGCATTTCAATGCCCTGGCGCGCTGACGCCCTTAATGCACCACTCCAAGAAGTGGGGGTTTCCCAAAATTAGGGGTACCTTTTTGGGGGTCCCCATAATAAGGACTATAGTATATTTGGGTCTATATTGGGGCCCCCTTATTTAGGGAAACTACCAAGTAACTCGGCATGGCTTGGGACTCTCCCAGCCAAGCCATCCCAAGCCTGAATCCGGTGCCAAGTGGCCGTTTGCTTCTGGAGTGCCCAGGCCTGGACGTCTCGTTTGCAAACAGACTGAGAAGGTGGCCAAAGCATTCATCTTTTGAGATCCCTGCTGGCTCAGCAACTGGACGGCAGAAGAACTTCCCAAGAATGGTAAAGGAACCCTGGTGACAATCCAAGACCCTGGTGCCGGAAAACCCTTGCGACAGTTGTCCGATCTACTCAAACCCCCTGCCTTCTCATCGACTACTATGAGCGATACCATATAGCGTGTCAGATATATATATATATACATATATGCCCGTACATATATGTACATATATATATATATATGGTCACCCCCCCAAGAACTACCCAGAGATTAAAAACACTGTAAATAGCAGTGTTTTATAACATTTCTACAATATCGGATTTTGATGACATTTTAGGATACTCTTGGACTAACTCTAGATTATATGGCAGACCGTACATTCATTTCAAAAGAAAGTTGCTCTAGAAACAGCTTAATATGGAAAACAAACCAAAAAAACAGTTGAGGAGAATAAGGCTGCAGTCAAATGTTTTGCGTGGTGTGTTGTTTGTGGTTTTTTGGTTTTTCAGCTTTTTGATTTTGGGTTTTTGGCTTACCATACAATATAAACCAAGTGCAATGCATTAGCTATTCTTACAGTATTAAGCTTTCTATGGCACACCAAAACAAAACTTTTGACTGGATCCAATTCTCCTCAACAGTTTTGTTATTTGGTTGTTGTTGTTTTTTATATCATGCTTGTTTTGTTGTTGCTTTTGATTTTTGTTGTTATGTCTTTGGGTTTTTTGCTTTTTTGTTTTTGGTTTGGTTTCGATATTAAACTGCTTCTAGAGCAACTTTCTGTTAAAAATAAATGTACTGTTGGCATAGTAGCCCTCTTCCCAAAAGGCGTAGCATGAACAGACTACATATCTTAGCAATATTTCGAATACTAATTCTAAGTTGAATACCAATACCACTGCTAAAACCAAGAATGCGCTAATACAAATAAAAATTTTAATACTAGTGAAAATGCGAATGCTAACATTAATCCTCATACTAACACTCCTACGAATGATACTTGCAATTGACGTTCGGCTTAAAACAACGGTATGGAAACTAATACTATTGCTAATTATATTAATACAACACATTATTAATACTAAGAACAATGCTGATATTGATATTTGCGCGATAGTAAGAAACAATAGCAATTTTCTTGATACCACCAATATTGAAATCAATATTACCAATACTGCTGAGCCTTATGGCTTTTACATATACTTATCTCTCTACCAATATTTGATACTAGTGTTGTTACTAAAACTCTGGTTCAGATGAATACAAAAACCAAACACAATGTTAATGCTACTATCTATATTCGTACTAATGCTGATACTAG